GTGTCGGCTGCTGCGGAGACTGAAAACACCCGAAGCCACCAGGCGCCAGGGGGTGCGCCTGGGTACTACTACTACTGCTACTACTACTACTACTACTACTACTACTGCTACTACTACTACTTCTACTACTACTGCTACTACTACTACTACTACTTCTACGACGGTAGTAGGAGCCACTGCAACAGGAGTGGCACGAGCAGCGGAAGGCAGTAGCATTCTGGCGAAGAATAGTTATAATAGAATAATAGTAACCATAATACTTGTAATGATAATAATCATCATTGTAACAGTAAGTAATACTAAATCTTCAATGCGCTGCGTTTACAAGCCGTGTATGCTGCGTCGCGGCTTCAAAAGCGCAGCGTGACTGAGGCAACAACGAACTTCTCCAGCTCCCGGGCTAGGGTTGCAATCTCCTGGACTTGTTCATGCGTGCCATATCCTTTGTAGTAGGAGCGGGGTTGCTGGCTTTTATGTCTCATCCCCTGTCTTTCGCCAGTAACGAAGAAGTATGGTCTCCCAAGTACGGTATCTCTTGTAGAGCCCATGTCTTGAAAGCAATCAGGCTGTGAGAGTAACCGCTGCCTCCAGCTGGCGAACAGTGGCGTGCAGCATTTGCCTGGGGCCATTCGCTCTCTACAGGAAGTGATACAATGTCTGAAGACAGGAAACCAGAAAGCCCAGGCCAGACTGACAGAACTACTGGGTTGCTGTTAAGGANNGAAACCCTATTATTTACTGTATACACCCATCATGGTAACTTAGATTAAGTTCCTTAACAGCAACCCAGACTAATGATGCGAGGTGCAGGATGTTGCCCCAGATTGTGGAGACCTGTAACCAGGGCTTAGCTCTCACTTAGCTCCGCTTGATAGGAGATCCTGCGACCATGGTGCTTAAGACCCCTCTGCAGGATATATAGGGTTCACATAGGGATGTAGGGATTATATAGGTTTGTATAATATACTATAGTATATTGGGGATATATTGGGATAATGGAAAAGAAAATGGAAACCACTATAGTATGTAGAAGCTTAGACAAGAAGGATGCGAGATCTGGACGAGTCCAGAAAGCCTTTCTGCGCTGGCAGCAGTACTGCCGGCAGTGGCTCCCCGGAAGGCCCCTGACCTGCTTCGGATGGCTTCGTGAACCCTTGCAACAGACTGAGTCTCACTTCTGACTGTAGGTGCTCCAGGTTCCTACAAAACAGCTGTGGCTGAATCAAAACGACGGTGCTCCGACCGCATGGAGTCTGCTTATGGGGGACCCCGTACCTTCCAGCATCCCATCCCCAAACCTTGGCGCGGGAGACAGCAAGGCCTGCCTCCAGCACGTGCTCAAGCCACTCGCCCCACCGGCTGGGGAGGCCAGCATCCTGGCAACAGCAGCAGCAGCAAGCCCTCCAGGGCATCAAACCCAGGTGAACGCAGCGATTTTTTAGCCCAAAGCGATGCAGCAGGATTGTGCAAATTGTGGAGATTCCTAGTGCAACGCCTTCCAAGACAAGCAGATTTGGCTGCGCCTGAGAAGCCTTAACTCTGCAAACCGGATCCCTACCTTGAAGCTCCCGCCGTGCTCCCAAATCATTGGCTCAAGATACTGATTACTCGTACTACTACTATTACTAATACTATTTGTATTTTTATTACTAGATTTACTATTACCATTACGATGTTTATTATGAAGTCCAGAAGCAAGGGCACCCTGCGAGTGGGTCTGCAGAGTGAATCTTGGGGAAAAGAGGCAATAAGAGGCTTGACCAAATCCTACCGTCCCTGCACTAGTCGTAGAATCCACAAAGGCTGAGATTCCCATTCCCATGCACACCCATCCCCCTTGAAAGCAACCCGAAAGCGGGGTCCGGCATCTGTGACAGCAGCTGCTGTCCAGCCGAGGCCATGTCTAAAGCCCTTCTCCTTACCTCCTCCAAGGCATAAAATAGCGGGTTACTAGAAAGAGATAATGGAAAAGAAAATGGAAACTACTACAATAGGGTTATATAGTTGGGTTATAATAAGGTATATATAGGGAATATAAGGATAATGGAAAAGAAAATGGAAACTAAAGGGATCATAGGGATTAAATAGGAGTTACATCAGGAGGAAGATCACTTGACTCTGCAGGCTTTTTGCAATCTGTGAATGCAGTGTCCGGTTTTCAGATGCAGGCACGGAAGCATCAAACAGCCTACTGTACCGAGTTCAACTGTCCTCCACAGCAGACAGGACGTAGACATTTCTCACTTCTGGAATAGCACCTGCCGAGGCATCGCGACTGCAATCCCACCAGCGCTTCATGTGAGCCCTGGACTAAATTTGTAGTACATCCCTTAAATAGGTCCCCCCCAAAACCCTACATATATTCCCCTATAGGTCCCCCAACCTAAATTTAGTCCGTAGCTCATCTTCTACACCCAAGAAGTACAACCTGCAACTTGAACGGTCATGAGTCAGCCACTCCAACAACCTATCATGACTGATGCTACCTTTGCAACGAACACGTCTACGAAAGCAGCAACTTGTGCAAGGGCAAGGTGCAGCTGATTTTCTCAGCAAAGCTTGTACCTTCTGAAAATTGTGTTGTTAACGAACCATCTCATGCCAAAACTGTGCCATGGAGGGCCTAGCTGACACTCCGCAGATATGTGGATCCAACGGAAGAGGAACGTCAGCCGACGCACATACCTCATGCGCTTGCTTGGAATTGTTCGTCGTGAAGCTCTAAGGCACGCGAAAAGGACCCTTCCGCGGCCTAGTTTTGTGAATCTGGTTCGCCTGCCTACCATTTCTAAGCGCCTGCCGCTGAACTTCTAGACTTACTGCACAAGTAAGGGAGGTGCCGGAGGAAGACTAACGAGAGCGAGGACGGCGGCGACGCGAAGAACTCCGTTATTTGAAGCTCCACCTCGCAACACTTCAATGCACGTTGCCAAGTGTCAAGACGCCGGCATTGCATGTCCCCTCAGCTCGCACCTGACTTGTTTAACATATGAATGCAGGACGGAGGTCAAAAGAATATGGCGAGCATGAGCCTCGGCGTGCTCAAAAGCTGCCGTCGGATCCTGCGGCATGTAGGCTTTGAAAACAGGAAGCCTAGGGGAACCAGGGGACAATTGTCCGTGTCTGTAGAACCCGGCTCTCCTTAACCTACTGGTGGTTAGTGGGCATAATCCCGACATACTACCTATTTCAAATATTACCTTATTCTCGACTAAACCCCAAGTAAGTGGCATCAAGAGCCCCCAGGCCTCGAGGAAGGAATCGGGGGGCTCGTTGGCTTGAGCCATGAGATCCTGGCATGGCACCAAGCAATGCCTCCGGTTGAGCACGCAACACACCAAGCCCGTCCGTCAGCTTCAGCATTGTGCTTTGCCTCAGTTCTTCAACCCCTGGGAGGAAATCTCTCTTTACGAGTGCGAACACTGAAATACCTCCTGTACAGCCTCTATTCAAACCAAATGACTTGCAAACTCACAATTGCAATGTCTGGGTCTGCTGCTGACACCTCTCGAAAGGCATTCTGATGAACAGCGGATGACAAACCTTGCTTCACTGTTGAGTCTAGTGCGTGTGACATGCTGAACAGCCTCGAGTGATAAGCCACGCGCGGTCACCGTGAACCATCGCAAACAGACCTAAAAGCAAGAAGGCAGGCGACATGTGGCATGCAGGTACAGACAGCTGCCTGGAAATGCCCAGCACTAGGGGCACGCATACGACTTTGCAGCGACCCCTAGTGTAAGAGGCATAAAGATGTAAGAAAGAATCACAGAGAAGTTTTGACTCAAGCTCTTCAGACACGTCAGCGACCATCGGTCAAATTTGCACCAAGCATGATGCGAAGGCTGCAGAGCAACTCCATGGCCAAATCCTCCATATACTATAGTAATTTCCATTTTCTTCCCCATTATCCGTATATAACCCCAATATACTATAGTAGTTTCCATTTTCTTTTCCATTATCCCCATATTATAATACCAAATATACTATAGTAATTTCCATTTTCTTTCCCATTATCCGCATATAACCCCAATATACTATAGTAGTTTCCATTTTCTTTTCCATTATCCCTATATAACCCCCATATACTATAGTAGTTTCCATTTTCTTTTGAACTATCCAGTAGTTTCCCATATAACCCCAGTATAGTACCGGGCGCCAAGCTGCCAGGAAGCCACGCAGGGAAGCCAGGCCAAGCAGCTCCACAATGGCCTGGTGCGGAGCTGGGCAACCCCTCTTCTTCAAAGGTATAGACCCCCTTAAGTAGATAGAATATGGGGTATATGGGGATCTTATTATAATATACCCAAAGCCCTATTCTATCTCAAGGGGGACTATATTCCTATCAGGGCATTAGGGATGAGGGTACACGGTTTAGACTCAGATTTTGGGGTTGAAAGTATGATTGGAAGGTGCAGGGACTGCTCCCCAAAGGTGGGACAAGGATGGGGCTGGCCTTGAACCCTGCAAGTTGCGTATAAGTCCTTCTTGACTGCTTGGCATGTGCACACGTTGGTTCTCTGGGGATTTTAGGAGGAGTAGTTAGCCTTTTTACGCTGCAAGGCTTTCACAGAATTGGGTCCGAAACGTCGGAGACAAGAAGCAGCAAGCCACAAGCGCCTCCAGCAGAGGGTCCAACAACAGCTCAGCCACTTCGCAATCTGCCGCATTCAAGCCTCTGACTTTGGACACGACGGTTTAGGGTTTAGAGTTTAGGGGGACCTCCTGAAAAGCCCACGCCCCTTTGAGAATCTTGTATATGGCAAGAGAAATCCCATGAGTACTACCCCACATCATGCATCACTGCAGCGTTGCTCAGCCCAGTGTCAAAGTTCCTGTTGCAAAGATATAGTAGCAATATTAATAATAATAAGAACAGTACCAATAGGAATAACAAAAAATACTACTAATAATGATACTAATAATAAAAATAATAGTAACAATAATAGTAATAGTAGGGGATGAAGGCCTGCGGATGCTAGCAGCTTTGCGCTGCACTGCAACGCCATTGACCTTTGCATTCTCTTAGAAGGATCAAGCACTGACAGTAAGCAATATTACCCCTGTATACTCGTAGAGATAACCCCCATAACCCTAGATAACCCTATATAATCCTATATAGCCTACGCTATTCATTTCTAGCCAAACGAACCTTCCCTCAACACTAGGCAGACTTGTCATACTCTACCCATCTAAGGTAGGTCAAATAGGAGGTTGGCCTGCAGGTAGTGTGGTGCAAGGAGATAGCACGGGCGGGTCTGGATCATCAGACATAGGTTGAGGCACTCAAGTAACTGTTGGTTCTTCAAGCCCTAAGGACGTAAGCATGCCCGCCAGCAGCAAGGGTAGAAAGAGCGCAACACTTTTTCTCAGCTCTCGCGACCTGTTGTCGACACAGAGCAGGGAGGACCCTGGCTCAAACCATCAGGGAAAAGGTAGCCTCCTTGACATCCTTCTCTGCCTTCTCGGTCCACTCATCCTGAGCCACCAACAATGTGTCTAGAAGCTTTAGATCCGTGAAACACCTGTTCCAAGATCCTTCGCTGCACTGGAACCGAACTGGATATGGAAGGCTCAAGCTCTTCATCGCTTCTGCTCAGGGTCAAGACTTTCCAGAAGCCAGAAAAGACTCAAAATTTCAACAAACTCTGGAGGAAGTCATTGATGCTCCCTGCAACCCTTCCAGTCTCAAATTGACCCAGGCACCACCGCTCGGTCGAAGGCATCGTCATCCATGGCTGCCAGCTCCGAATCACCTTGGAGTGCGAAAGAATCGCCACTCTGACACTAACAGGTTTCAATGCCAGCACAGGTGCCCAAGGACCAGATAAGGGCTGCATGCTTTCATGCAGTTGCGCTTTGATCCCTTCACAACTCAAGTACAGGGGAGATCCGAAACTCTCAAGCCAAGTTGCTGGGAAGGGGTGGCGCAAAGGGCTTTCCTGACAAGAGACGGTCTAGAAGACCTTAGCTGCTTGCACCAGACTCCAGACATGTGAAGATTGCTGCATGTCGCTCAGAAGGTCTACCATCCAGAAAGCAACTTAATCTCAAACATTCCATGAAAAATACTCAAACAAGGTTATTTTTCCGAGATGTTTCCAAAGCGCTGCTACTTGAACAGAAGATTCCACAGCATCTTGCCTGCAGGTTTTGAACAACTAGTGTTTAGGGTTTAGGGTTTAGGGATTTGGGTGTATAGTCCCCCTTAAGTAGATAGAATATGGCTGTGGGTATATGTTAAAAGATCCCCCTTTACCCTGTATTCTACCTACTTAAGGAGGGACTCCAAAGACATGGACACACAACAACCATGCTCTATGCCCATGTGCACTATATTCTAAACTCCTAGTATCCCCCTTAAGAAGCCCTATTTACTCCCCTCTGTACTCCCCTATGTAAACCCCCCTGCAGGAGATTAGACTATTGCCCACGTGTATGAAAGACGTAGTCAGACCAGCGGATGCAGCCCTTCACATGGAACCGGACACATCCCAAACTCCGAACCTCCGACCAAACCTCAACATCGAGGTGTGTAACAAGGTCAGGAGGCTTACTACGGGTGGTTGTCGAAATTATGGTCCCTTTTTGGATTCCTTTTGCAATACGGCACCTAATATTTCGGGTACCCCAAAAAGGGACCATAATTTTGACAACCACCCATATGTATTACTATTGGTATCAATATTACTACTACTCTTTGGACAAGTGGCGCACCGCGGCCTGAGGTCGGAATTGCGGCACCTGCCCCAGGGTTTAGCGCCACACAGTTTAGGGTTTAGGGTTGAAGGTTTAGGGTTTAAGGTTTAGGGTTTAGGGTTTAAGGTTTAGGGTTCAGGGTTTAGGGTTTAGGACTTAAGGTTTACGGATTAGGGTTTAGGATTTTAGGTTTAGGGTTTAGGTTTAGGATTTAAGGTCTAGGGTTTAGGGTTTAGGACTTAAGGTTTAGGGTTTAGGATTTAAGGTTTAGGGTTTAGGTTTTAAGATTTAAGGTCTAGGGTTTAGGGCTCAGGGAGCGACACGAGAACAGGAAAGCACCCATGGTACCATCACAAGCACGAGTCATGTACATGCTCCATTTGTTCTGGAACCCCTTGTCCCTCTGAACCCCCAAATCATCTGAATTTCAATCTAATTTGCCATTTACTTGTCCATTTGATTCTCCATTGTTGGTGATAAAAACCCCTAAACCCCCAAACCCTAATCCCTAAACCCCAAAACCCTAATCCCTAAACCCTAAACCCTAATCCCTAAACCCTAAACCCAGAACTGCAAAACTTTATCGCCGAGGCTTGGGCCATGTGCCCACTGCCGTGGACCGTTGCGAAGGAAAGGCCATGCTCCTGATCTGGATGTGGTTTTCGGTTTAGGGATTGGAGTTTGGAGCTTTTTTTATCGGAGCCTTTCTCCACAGCACAGAGTTTCGAGTTTAGGGATTAGGGTTTAGAGTTCAGGTTTCAGGGTTTACGGTTCAGGGTTTAGGATTGCGTCTGCCTGCGCAGCGCTGAATATCCATGCGCCCATGGCGCCACCCCACCTCCACTCCAGGACCCTCGACCGGCCTTCAGGCCCTCCAGAAATCTCCAGGGCCTCAGGGGCCTCAGGGCCCACCACCCCTGCAGGGACCTCCAAAAATCTTACAACCCCTTGGGTTGGAGGCCGAGCTGTGCCTACGTGTTTCTCCAGTGTCTGACCCTCCTGGTAATGGGTGGGTGGGAATTGAAGGTTTAGGGTTTAAGTTTTGGGGATTGGGGATTCGGGTTTAACGATTAGGATTAAGGTTGAGGGGGGTCCCCTTCAAGGGAGATAGAGGGGTCATATAGGGATGCATAGGAATGCATAGGGCTTAGGATTTCCAACAATTTGAACATCTAGGGGCTCCCAAGATTAGTGGTACCTGTTTTGGCAGGTCCCTACAAGAAGGATCATAGTATATGTTCCATTTTGGGGGAACTACCATCTACGGCGCAACAGACGTATTACCGGTAACCAGTAACTCAGCTGCTACTGTAGTAGTTTACATCTAATTCTCCACCATTAAGGCACTATCATGACTACCCCTAACCCCTGTATAATCCCTATATAATCCCTATATTATCCTTGTATAATCCCTATATAATCCCCATATAATCCCTATGTATATTACCTACCCCCTATATCCCCCCCCCGCTGCTCCTGTTAACCTCTCCCTAAGCCTGCCAAGGCACGTAGTCCACGACCTGACCTCCAAACTGAGGCCCTGCCGGCTGAAGCTCCAGGTTTGGGCCAAACAGGTTTGGCTTCCTGGGCGAATGCAGTTTTTGATCGGTACTGTACTGTACTGCACTGTACTGTACTGTAGTGTACTGTACTGTACTGTACTGATCATGCATGTGCATACCATGATTATCTGACTATTTGTGAGGGGAGATGGTTACAAGAATGTCAAAAGGGATCATTGGAGTGCTGGTGCTGCGGCTGCGCGGCTCCTGCAGAGTCTTCAGTTCGGCAGCTGTCTTGTCGTAAAACCATGGCCTGTAGTGTCCTCAGCTGGAGTCACCTATAGTCCCCCTTAAGTAGATAGAATATGGCTTTGGGTATGTTGTAGTAAGATCCCCATAAACCCCATATTCTATCTACTTAAGGGGGACTATAGCCACAGAGATCCAAGCTCACAAGGAGCCTGGGTTGGACTGAGGAGGACACCACCCGGGAGGACTCCATAGCCGACTTTCTCAATGGCAGTACGCGTGCCCTCGTATGAGACGCAGGGATCGGTGTCGCCGTTGAAAACCTCACTGCAGGGCAGGTGGATACAAGCTCAGCCCCCATCACAAACTACTCTGGATCATGCAAATCCAAACCTACAAGCCCTGGAGCCGTGCCCTGGTATACGTCCCGACAGACACGTTTCTGAACTTTTCCACACTGCCAGCAAGTCAGAAGAGGGGCAATGGTAGTCCTCAGCTTTGGGGCGATCATCCGGTAGAAGTCAATCATGCTCGGCTTGCCGGGTGCATTGTTGCAGGCATTGTAGCCTCAGATACTGCAGGAGCCCCAAAACACGCTCAAATGAAAACCGGCAAAAAATTGAAGGATCCAGGCTTATCCATGATCCCAGTGGCTGCTGGTGTACTGCCAGCCATCAGGAGGACCCGGCCAGGACTTTGCAGGTGAGCTCTCCACGTGGAGGGCCTTCTTTACCTTGGAGCTGTGATGAACCCTCAAAGGCCTCATGAGCCATGGTCTAAACTCCTAGTATCCCCTTTAAAATACCCTGTAGTAGTAACCATATCCCCTTTAAAACCCCTATAATAGTAACCCCCCCCCTTGAAGCTTAGACTATGGCCTTTCATGGCCAAGTCCTGATTCCAGTCCCAGATGCATCAGCACGCATCATCCACTGCGCTGTGTAGTAGTTCAGTGTGCCAGGCAACTCCCAGTCCAGAGCCGAAGCATCCGAGAAGAGGTTCAGCTCGTTGATGTAGGCCTTCGACCAGTTGCAGATGCTGAAAAAGGATGTAGGACACTTGTCAGGCTCCACTTTGAAGGGATACAATAACAATAGCAATATTGCAAGTAATATAATGATAACAACAGTAACAATAATACTACTAATACAAATAAGTATGAACATAATAGCAATAATGAGCATAAACAATAATATCTAGAGCTACAACGAATCTGGCCGGACTCCCAGTTTGCTCCAGGCCGTGCACGGTTTCGTGTTCCCGGCCTTCTTCCAGCCCTGTGAGAGGCCGCGTGACGTAGTTGCCAGGAACTGTCGGTTCAGCAACTTGCACTTCTCGTCCGATCCCTGGGCTTCAAAGGAGGGAGGAACACCCTGCGCCAAAGTCCATCTTGAAACTTCCATCTTCAGGCCACCAATGAGTACTGGTCCATTTCAGGCTTTCCGTCCCTGTTAAAGTCTCAACCGGAATTTAGAGCGGCTCTATCCTGCTTTGTTATGCAGCCATTCTGGAATGTCGTCCTTCCTTGGAAAAATCTTAGTCTAATACTTTTCAGCCCGGGTGCTCCCCAAAAAATCCCATAACAAAAACATCCTCCATCCTCTTTGCAGGAAGTAGACTTCAAGCCCTACTGAAAACCCTCCAAGCCCAAATCCCGAAACCTTCTAGGGCTCCAAATGGCCCAAGGTAGGTACCATAGGGTTGAGAGTTAAGGGCTATAGTCCCCCTCAAGTAGATAGAGTATGGCTTTGGATATATTATGATAAGATCCCCATATAACCCATATTCTATCTACTGAAGGGGGACTATTAAGGTTTAGGGTTCTCATCCAAAGCCAGGCCACGGAGGCCAGGCTCAAACTGGTGGCCTCCCAGCGCCTCAGCAAGACAAACCCTAAATCCTAAACCCTACATCCTAAACCCTAAATCCTAAACCCTAAACCCTAAATCCTAAACCCTAAATCCTAAACCCTAAACCCAAAATCCTAAACCCTCTCTACCTACATATATTTAAACCTTAATGGGGTCGTTGCTCCCGTTTGAGAGTTTAGGGGCTTAGGTTTTAGGATTTAGGATTTAGGATTTGGAGGGCTGTTGGAGGTTTCCCAAAATTAAGGGTACCATTTTGAGGGTCCCTACAATGAGGCTTATACAGCAGCATTTGGGGGTCTATATTGGGGTGCCTGTCTTTATGGAAAGTACCACTTTTTCAACGTACCGATCTTACAGATCCCTTGTTGGGGGCCTTGCAGTGGAATCATTCAACGATTGTAGGGACAGAGAGCGGCTTTCGCGGTGAAGGGTCTCCGAAGGCATGAAGTCGGATTCTGGACGTGCTTCTGGGGCAGCTGCATTTGATCAAACACAAAGTTTGCGTAAAGTAAACGCTGCAGTTATGCAAGCATTCAGCTATAGTTTGAAACCAGGCCGCAGCCATGAGTGAAAGTCTCCGAGCATTGAGACTACAAATCCCAAAACAATGCCTACAGCAAAAAAATCCTCGGCAAGCCAAACCATTTGATAAGCGCTCCAGCAATGCATATTAGGATTGTCTCGCTCTGCCTCTCAACCCGGAGATACATCCCATTGGCCATGTTGCCCTCTCCACCGCATCTACAAATCCCCCCCAACAAAAACTACTAAGAAGCGCACTCCACCATTTTCCTGCACCATTCTGTGAAATTCTGCTGCTTGGACAGGCACCCGGCGGATCGGCGCCAAAGCCCACGGGACAGGAAGGATGGGTGCCTGGAGAGCTCCAAGACAGAGTTCACACAAAATAAGGCCAACAACTACAACAGCGGGAACTGATCTTCCAGCACTATACAACAATCATGGCAACAATAGTCGTCAGAGAGATAACGACTCAGATGTGGGTGTTGAGCTAAAAGAACCTAAATCCTAAACCCTAAATGGTAGTTTCCTTTTTTCCATTATCCCAAGATAACCCCTATATAATCCTTACAGCTTCCATTTTATTTTCCACTATCCCAATATAACCCCAATATATACCCTGGGTCATCTTTGGGTTTTCTGGCCGAAGGCATTCAGACAAGGCCTTACTCGAATCTGTCAGTCCCATAAGCTGCAGCGATATAACCCGTTATAGCTGTTGGTTTCAGGTTTATGGTTTAGGGTTTAAGGGTTTTTTTTAACATCCCCACGCACCTTTTCGGTGCTAGCATGAGCTGGGGAGGTCTTTTGCTCAGGTAGGTTGGAAAACACATCCCACACTCACTTGTCACTTTCTTCATCCTCAATGTCGTGATGGGTTTAAGGTTTAGGGTTTAAGGTTTAAGGTTTAGGGTTTAGGGTTTAAGGTTTTGGGTTTAGGGTATAATGCCATTATAGTAGTTTCCATTTTCTTTTCCATTATACCCATATAGCCCCAACATACTATAGTAGAATCCATTTTCTCCATTATCCCAATAGAACATGACCCCCAGGCCTTGCTGAGCAGTTGTTCCAGAGATACTCGAAATCAGCGTCAGGAACAAAGCCATGCTTGTGCGCATACCACAACCTGCAGCTCATGGATCCAGGCTAATTCAGGCCGATTGAACTCCCTTTCCTTTAGTCATGGTCCCGCCACTGAAATGACGCTGCAGCACATGCTCTCTTCTACCCGGGAGCATGTCCATGGATTCCTTCTGCGAGGGATAGTCAGTGCAGGGGTCACCGACAGCCACTCCTGAGTCTGCAATGGAAATCAGCAGAAGCAACTTGCAAGTCTGCCTGCCCCAGGCACTGGATGCATAAGTTGCGCCGGGCGTCCTTTCCTTGTCTGCACGAGCTAGGCTTACAGGAGATATGCTGCATGGTACTGTTGATACTAAAACTGCTGCAGGACCTTACTATACGATAGTACCATAATTCCCAACGTATAAGCTACTTAAGGTCATGCAGGATATTTAGTATCCACCGTATGATCACAGAGATCCTACAACTCTTGGAGGCTGGCCTGAAAAGCCAGCACAGTCTCCGGCCACCTGTTGGCCATGCTTAAGAACCCAGGGTATATCTTGAGGATATATTGGGATAGTGAAATGGAAACTATAGGGATTACAGGGATTATACAGGGGTTATATTGGGATAATGGAAAATGAAAGAAAAGCCAGGCGTCATGTTGATTTCAGGCGCGTTCTCGAGGATCTCATGGGTGAGAGTTGGAATGTAGACCTGTGTGAAGAAAGGGTGAAAGCAGGATCGTCAAGTTCCTGATGTGCTCCTACCGCGACAGGAATGAAACGATATAATCCCTATCATCCTAATACTTTCCATGTGTTTTTTCACTATCCCAATATAACCCCAAAATTATAACCCCAATATAAACCCCTTAGATATCCTCTATTATAAAAGTCCTGGGAAGCATCGAGCTGATCGCTAATTGCATCCAAGAAGCACCAGCATAGGATTCTCCTTCAAAAAACATGACTAGGCTGGGCTAATGTTGCTGGCTTCCTGATGAAGCTCTAACAGACCAGTTGAAGCACTGCATAATGCCATTGTCTGACTCATGCAATCTCATGCAGGAACCGCCAGCCTGTGATGAAGAAATCGTTCTTCTTGAGCTCCGGAAACCTTTTCTGAAATCTCAGCAAATGCCATGTTCCCTGTCAGCGTTTGCCTGCTGAGAGAGCTGCTCTCATGCTTGCCAGGGCACTTCTTGAAGAAGTCCTGTACAGCTGCTCGATTCGCTCGGGCAGTGGAGATATCAGTGTTATTGCAGTTGCCGCCTGCCTGCCGGGATCAGGTAAGGAGGCAAGGCACTTTCAGGGAAGTCTACATAGGAAGTGGTTGGAAAGCGAGGTAGCACCTGACATTTTAACACCTGGCTCTTGCAGCATGGACCTCACATGCTGAGAGCCTTCATGGCTGCGCAGTAGGAATACCCCACACCTCCAGGACCTCAGGATCAGGTGAGAGGTGATAATTCTTCGTATAGCCCCAATATGACCCATTATAGTAGTTTCCATTTTCTTTTCCATTATCCCAATGTAGTTATTCGGAGATTAGGCACAGCAATGCCTAGAATGTATACTCGGGCTCCTGCTCTCCAAGATCAGCAGGTTGGCTTGCTTGGTCCAAGCGTAGGGGTTCCTCATGAGACCGCCGGTAGCATTCACGAGAAGTGGCCCATTCTCCTGCGCTGAGTAACGTATGCTGGCATGGGCTCTGCAAACGCCTTGAGACACCGAATGGCATGAGACATCCAAACACAGGCCACCCATGGTAGAGGTTTCCGGGCTCCTGCAGCATGCCCAAGATTGAGCTGCTGCCAGGTCCGCCATTCCTCGACTCTGCAGAAACATTCCGAGACATTGTCAGATGGTAGTTTCCCTAAGTAGGGGGACCCCCAGAAAGACCCCAAAATACTATAATCCTTATCAAACCAAGACACAGCCAGAGCACCACTGGCAGCGCGGAAGCATCCGCGGTCTCTGCCGCTGCGAACCAGTAGTGCAACTGCGTCCCCGGTTCCTTTCAGAAAATAGACAGGAGCACATAAACAACGCTGAGCCCGTATATTAGAATTGCATAATATACCATAGTATAATACAACATAAGATAACATAATCTGACAAAGTATAATATAATATAGAATGATATATTGTATACTATAATATAACATAATTTCAGGGTTCATTCAGGTCAAGGTGCCACGGCACCAGCATCCAGGAAGCCTGAGTATTGAGCAGCTGGGGGTGGACCGTAGCCTGGAAGATTGCTCACCTCAGGGATGGATAGGGGTTATGTAGGGGTATATAGGGGTTATATAGGGAGATAGATATATAGATATATATAGATATATATATATATAGGGTTTAGGGTTTAGGGTTTCCCAAAATTAGGAGTACCTGTTTGAGGGCCCAGGACTATAGTCTGTTGGAGTCTATGTTGGGATCCCCTTATTTAGGAAGCTACCTTCTGAAGGCAGCTGAAAAGGATTGGTTGGCAGCGAAAGCAAGAAAGTTTCCTGCTACCACCGCACTGCTGCACTGGTAAAGAAACCCACCCATATGCATAAACCATCATCTGAGAAGACTTGCAAGGTCAAGCCTACAAACATACGGGAAGTTTTTGAGGTCTATCTTAGGGTCCCCCTATTTTGGGAAGCTCACATACAAGTCCGCCTGTTCCCCAGAAGGCGCAGCACGCGCCAGCGCAGTGAGGAGGGACAGGCGCCACATGGCCGGGAATGCGCACCGATTTCGGTCAAGACTGAGAGATGGCTGCGAACACACATGAGCATCTGTGCCCTCGGGACATGACCATTATATTACCCTCCTTCAATGTCATTAAAACCCAACCCCCCCGATAATGATAGTATGGCACAACAGGATTATTTGATTTTAGGGGGGGTGGGGGGTTTCAATATAAGGGGGGATGGGATGATCTGGCTACGTGGCTTGCACATGTGCCTGTTATGTGCTTCTTCGTAAAGGTGCGTGAGCACGTAGGAAGCCTTGATACCTTCCAGAACATGAAAACATTCCAAACCAGAATCCCGACCATCTGCATGGAAACCATTGGGAAGACATGAGAACTGTTGAACTACTACCTTCTGCAGGCAAAGGAAGATGCTATAATGCAGATCGACGGTCATCCAGGCTCCGCGCTCCTCCCGCCGAACATGGCGATCTAGCTCCATGGCATCAAGCTCGGCGGCACCATGAGATGATAAGCAGTTCAATTGTGCTCTTATCGCATCTTTCTTCCACTGTCAGCCCATGACAAGGCACTGTAAACACCTGCGTTTCATGCATGCACTTCTACAAGATGATGATGCAGGAGGATGCCTCATGGACAGAACATGGAGAGCAAGATGCCACTAGTATGTGAGCACACATTCAAGAAGGATGAGGCTGCCTGCACTTGATCTCGTATGAGCCTTTCCAATGTCTGCATGTCCGAGAATCACAAACTCTCACAGCTCAACCCACATGCAGCACATCCAGATGCAGCAGCAAGGACAGCTGCAGCATTCCACTCCAAACCTCACCTACCCAGAAACCTTACGATCAAGCTCATGCAGGTAGCAAAGAGAGAAAGTCACACAGAAACAGTGACTGAAATCGTGGTCTTCAACCGAACCCCACCCGGGCATCATAACAATTAGACCGTCAAAGGCATGTGCGGTAGCTTGCATGGGAAGCAGACCCCAAGACACTACAATCCTTATTATGGGACCCCCAAATTGTTGCACCTGAGTTTTTGAAATCCCCCATGCGAGCTATAGTCTAAACTCCTAGTATGCCCCTTAATATCCCCTAAAGTACTCCCCCATATAATCCAATATATCTCCCCTTTAAGGAGTTTAGACTATAGCTCATGTGCATCCTGAAACAGTTTTGGAAACCAGCCTCTTCCTGCGGCGACGGCTGGGAAGATCCTCCAAAAAACGGCTGAAGGGCTTCAGGTTAAATGGGAGTTTCTCAAAAAGGGCCCTAGGGACCCCAAGGGGTATAGAGGGATTATAAGGGGATTATATAGGGCCCCGTTAAGGGATGAAATAGGGGTTATATTGAGAAATACCCAAATAGGGCTCTCATGTAGGGGTTATTATAGGGCCATACATTGCTTGTATGGGGGTACACGAGGCTCAGGAACATTACCCGACAAAACATGCAGAGATCATGTCTTCAGCAACCGCCGAGAGCTTGGTGTCCTGATGGAGCTTCTGGAGACACCGACATGCCTGCGCGAAAAAAACAGTTATTCTTCAAACTATTATTCCCATTGTCGTCATTATTTCCATGATGAATTTAAATGATACCGGAAGCCTCATCCGGTGCTGGCTCCGTCTATCTTGTGACCTTGAGCGGCCTTGTGCCTTTCCAAAACCGTTTTGCAAGGTGTGAAAGCCCGAACGCAAGACAGCTGTGTAGTCCCCCTTAAGAAGATAGAATATGGCTTTGGGTATATTATAACAAGATCCCCATATACCCCCAATTCTATCTATTTAAGGGGGACTATCCCTAAGACCCCATCTTAATTCCTGCCTGCCATGATGTCTCGTTGAACCACACGGGCAGCTCTCATGCCCCCTGAGACGTATCTCTGGAGAATGGCCTCAGCAAGGGCGGGGCTAGCAAAGACTGGTAGCATCGGAAGTGACCCATCTTAAATAGAAGGCTGCAGAAGCATTTGGACTGGTACTTAGCCTCAGAAGCGCCGATACGCACCGGTAGTCTTTCACATGAAGGCAGCGTATGTAAAAGCTCCAAAATGCCTACTCACGGAATCTTGACGAGGGTCGGTAGGCAACAATTTCATGTATGCTGGCGGGTCGTCACGTTTAGGGTTAAGCAGTTGAGAAACAGGGTTGTCTTCTTTTTATGTACAAGAGATAAGACAGACCTGACAATGCCTGACATCTATCACAGCGGGCGAAAGCATCAAGAAAGTCCCTAAACCCTGTCTGAGACCGGTGCTAGGCCGTCAGACTCAGCTTGGCGCCGGTCGCCCTGCCAATTCGACTGCAAAGTTCTGCTTTGTGAAATTTTGGGGATGGAGACTTTCCATTTTGTACCTGTGGTTAGAACAGGGGTGGCGAATCCTTTTAGTCTATCGCCGTTTGAATGCCCCTTGCCCAGCAACTTCTTGAAAGAGTATCGGGACCCTTGATGTGCTTTGGGAATGCAAGTTGGGGGCCACTTGCCCTGAACGTCTTTGCGACAAGTGGACAAGAGCTGCTGCCAGAATCTCCGATCTGCAGTGCTCACTCTGAACGCGGAATCTGAACAGGATCTCCGCTAGCTAGTCTTGTGATCCCCTACACCGATGACCCTAAATCCCTAAACCCTCAATCCCTAAATCCCTAAACCCTAAATCCCTAAATCCCTAAACCCTAAATCCCTAAATCCCTAAACCCTAAACCCCACATCCGGCCCAGTGTATCTTAGCTCATCAGCCCTGCCTGGCGCCAGGTCCCGGACACCTCGAGCATCTTCAAGGCCTGACCTTGCCAATACTCAGTCTTGGGGCCTTTGGGATTTAGGGATTTAGGGTT